TACTGATGCTCCTGCTGATTGGGTTTCTTATCTCGCCTTAGCTGAGTGGTGGTACAACTCCAACCCACATTCTGCTATTCACTCTTCTCCTTTTGAATTGTTATATGGCTATCCTCCTCCCTTACATCTTCCATACTTGCCTGGTGACTCTGATTCTGCTGCTGTTGAGGATTTTATGCTCAACAGACAGTTTAAACTAGAGTTGGCTAAGTTTCATTTACATCGAGCCCAACAACGGATGTGTGCACAGGCCAACACTCATAGGTCTGATAGGCATTTCCAGGTTGGTGATTGGGTTTATGTTAAACTTCAACCTTATAGACAATCTTCCTTGTCTATTTTTCCATATCACAAGCTCACTTCTCGATTTTTTGGTCCATATCCCATTGTGGAGAAGATCGGTGTTGTGGCATACAAACTCCTCCTCCCTCCTGAAGTGCAAATCCATCCTACTTTTCATATTTCTCAACTTAAATTCTGTCATGAACTTCCCAGTACTATAGTACACCCTCCCATCATTGACTTATCTAGTCCTCATTGCCCTGAGCCTGAATATATCTTGGAGCGCCGAATGGTGAAGCGTGGTAATAAGGCGGTTGCCCAGTGGCTTATTCAGTGGTCTGGCCTTGATCAATCTTATGCTACTTGGGAGTTGGCTTCTACATTACAAATTCGGTTTCCTTCTATCACCCTTGTGGACAAGGGTGCTGTTTCACAGGGGGGTATTGATACCAATTTGGGTGCAACAGCCACGTAATACTTCAGTCACATGGCAGATACCACGTCAGTGCTGAGCTGGAAGGTCACACACCATTAGCATGACTACTATTTTGGCGGGAAAAGTAGTTAGAATCAGTTCCTATGCTCATTTCTAGTATTCATTATAATTCTCCTTGTATTTTCCTTTAATTCTGATTAAGTAGTATTAATAGGAGTGGATAGTACTTGTAAGGCATAATTTGAATGTGATAGCTCAATATAACTTTCATTTCCCCTCTCATTCTCTCTCAATTTCTCCCCTGTTCTTCATCCTTCTCTTCATTCTTCTTCTTTCTTCTTCTTATCTGCATTTCACACCCTTGATACCTTCATTTTGGTATCATTAAGTGGCTCCATACCAGAAGGGCTCTTCAATATCTCTACGCTAATGGGGATTTCACTTCTCACTAATAACCTTTCCGGTAGTCTTCCATCTGTTTCAGGCTACTGGCAAACAAATCTAGTGTTTTTGAATCTTGGTGATAACAACATTGGTGGAGTTATACCCACCTCAATCTCCAATTCTTCAAATATATATGCATTATATCTTAATAATAACAAATTTAGTGGACAAATTCCCAACTCATTAGGGGATTTGAGGTATCTTGAAGTTCTGGAATTGTTCAATAATAGCTTATCGTCTCCACACCTAAGTATCCTAACTTCATTGGTGAACTGCAGAAATTTAACAAGCATATTGTTAAAGAAAAATCCTCTGAATGGTGTTCTTCCGGATTCCATTGGCAATCTCTCCAAAGCTATTAAAATATTTGATTTATCTAGTTCTGAAATTAGAGGCAAGATACCATTAGGAATTGGGAATTTAAGTAGCTTAAACACTTTGACCTATTCGGCAATGACTTGACTGGATCAGTGCCAACAACGTTATGTGATTTACACATTCTTCAAGGATTACGTCTTGACAATAATAGGTTAAGTGGACCCTTGCCGGAGTGCCTTTACAAATTGTCATCGTTGGGCTTGTTTAATTTGACATATAATCAGATTTCAGGTCCGATACCATCTAGCATTGGCAACATTACCTCTTTGAGAAATATTTATATAAATTCAAATAGGCTCACTAACATACCCATGAGTCTATGGAGCCTCAAAGATCTTTTGGTGCTTCACTTGTCCAATAATTCTTTGGTCGGCTCTATACCTCCCGATTTTAGCAAGTTGAATGCCATAACATCCATAGATCTGTCCAGGAATCACCTTTCAGGAAGTATTCCCTCGACAATTGGAGACTTGCAGAATCTACTTTATCTTTCTTTGGCTTATAATGAGTTACATGGATCTATTCCGGAGTCACTGGGGAAAATGATAAGTTTGGAATCGGCGAATCTATCCAATAACATTCTTTCAGGTACGATCCCAAAATCATTAGAGTCACTTCGATATCTGAAGGATTTCAATGTATCATTCAATAGATTAAAAGGTGAAATCCCAAGTAAAGGACCCTTTCGCAATTTCACCTCTCAAGCTTTTATGGGAAATGAGGAGCTGTGCGGGGAGTTGCTTTTTCAGTCTTGTAGGGCTAGGTCTTTTCATCATTCAAGGATAACCAAATTGCTTCTGACTATACTTGTCCCACTGGTAGCTGCAGTACTAGTACTTGGCTCAATCGTTGTGTTGATGTTAAGGAGACGTCGGAATAGAAATGTTCCAATTCAAGATGAATCCTTTACTGCAACAACACTAGCCAGGATTTCATACATTGAAATTGAAAGGGCAACTCAAGGGTTCGACCAATGCAACTTGCTAGGCTCTGGAGGTTTTGGCACTGTTTACAAGGGTATGTTTGCAAACGGGATGACTTTGGCAATCAAAGTGTTCAATTTACAGGTTGAAGGTGCGTTAAAGAGTTTTGATGCTGAATGTGAAGTTTTACGCAACCTTCGTCATAGAAATCTTACCAAAGTTATCAGTAGTTGTACTAACTTGGATTTTAAAGCATTACTTCTTGAGTATATGCCCAATGGAAGCCTAGAGCTGTGGTTACATTCTGATGATCGCTTCTTGAATATGATCCAAAGATTAGACATAATGATCGATGTTGCATTTGCTTTGGAATATCTCCATCATGGTTATGGAACAGTGGTTGTACATAGTGACCTGAAGCCTAGCAATGTCTTGCTAGATGAAAAGTTGGTTGGACATGTGAGTGACTTTGGCCTGACCAAGTTATTAGGAGAAGGGGAATCAATTGTTCATACTAAAACACTTGCTACAATGGGGTACATTGCACCAGGTAACTTTCTTTTAGTCCTTTCATTATCGCATATAAATTGTTATTTTACATCACATTAGAACTCGGTGAAAGCCTGAGTGGATAATTCAATTAAAGAAAACATATTATATCACTGATTAAGCATGAAAAAAAATGGTATTGATAACATTGAAATATGACTGTTCCAAACTCTATATACATGCATCTACGATGATAAGAAAAAGAAGCATGTGGTCATGTCGTTTCAATTTTTTTTAAAGCAAATGTTTCCTTCAAAGGAGATTAAATAGATAAAGCAAAGGAACATAGAGGGGGGCTATGCCTAACCTCTGCAATACAAGGAATGAGGAAGTCATCCTTACACTCTAACTTACCGGAGAAAAGGAGGAGGAGGAAAAAAAGGGTTGTTCCACGTCAATTAAGCATATAAAAAGATTTTAGAGCAAGCAGAGAAACTCAGCCACGATAAAATAAAGTTGCCTCTCTTCACTATTGTTTACCTTCTCTTAAATTATGTTTCAAAGTGAAATGGCCAAGTGACCTCATAGATTGAATCCGTTTAATATCATCTGCCAGAAGTCATATCGTTTCAATTGATTACCTTACTCTTGTTTAAATCCCATTATACCTTTAAGTTTTTTTAAGTGTTTGTATACTCAAGGTGGATTCAACTATTTTTCATATCTAGCAAAAAAAAAATAATAAAAAAAAATATATATATATATTTGGCTCGTCAAAATACTAATTACTCTGGTACATTGCATCAGAGTATGGATCAATAGGATTAGTTTCTACAAGATGTGATGTGTACAGCTACGGAATCATGCTCATGGAAACTTTCACAAGAAAAAAGCCATATGATGAAATGTTTCAAGCAGATTTGAACATGAGAAGGTGGATCTGTAATTTACTATCTGTCGCACCAGATGATATCATTGATGACACCTTATTGGAACCTGAAGAGATTGATTTTAAGAAAAAGTTGCATTGTGTGTCCTCTATTTTGGAGTTGGCATTGAATTGCACAGCTGAATCTCCTTATGAGAGGCCGAACATGAAAGATGTCCTGGCAAATATCAATAAGATCAAACAAGAATTTCTTCGCAGATGATGTAACAAGGTTTATGTGATGGTACGTATACAACTTTTTGAAACATTCTAATGTCATATGGAGAAATTATTGTCTTTTCTATACCATGAATAAATGTAGATGGGGTTTTTTAATTCAAATCCATCATCCTGGCTGCATTAACTTCTGATGCTGGGGAGGTTTCCCTACCACCGATATTTGAATCCAAAAGGTATAGTGTTGAGCTGGTTTCAATCATTTACAGGGGTAAAGTTTAACCGTGGTCTATAAGCACCAATAAATTGACTTAGCTTGTGACAAGAATTCTTATGGAAATTGGTTGTAGTAAAATAAACCTTGAGATGAAATAGAACCTCATTGACAGTTGTTCTTTTGTTACCATATCTAGCCTTCTAAAGTTCTCAACAGATAAAAGCACCTATAGCTTGAGTAGCAGTCTTTAGAGCTGAGTTACTTAGTGTAAGCAAACTGTTTACGCTGAGCAGATTGCGCCTATCCATACTGTTTCATCCTTTGGAATTCTACAACAGAATCACCGGGAAACGATTAAAAAACCAAAGTTAGTCAATACATCATCTATAGGGATTTACTAAGGGTGACCTTTCTGAATTTGAGGAGAACTTTCTCAGTATCCCAGGTTTGTTATTACTTTCTAAGTTCGAGGAAAACTTCTCCAGTGAGTAAAATAAATCAAGAATTTATAAGGAGAAAGACCAACATTTTTGCCAACGGAAATTTCATCATGGTGACAGTTGAAATATATACGTTATGTTGAAAAGTTAACTGCTCAAGTCTCTGTTAATACTATAGTATAGTGAGTATATTTTTGCCTGTGCTGAGTTTGTATCATAATGACTGGAAACTCAAGTTTGATCACATTTAAACTTCTGTACAGGTAATGCTGCCTTCCAGTCCTGGCGTAACAAATCTGGGTGACCGCAATTGCAACGAATACCAATCTTTGTTCCGAGATTAGAACTTTTTCTTGTTCATTCAAGTTTGGAGTGTGTGTCAAATAACTTTAATATATAAGATGTGTGCTAAAGTTGGTATGGAGAATGTCTTGTATTAGTATGGATGATCATTATTGTAAAAACAATTTAATTATAAGAGGCAAAAACTCAACCCAAAATCATTTTCAGGTAAGTGCGTCAACCCCACTTAAATCTTCATTCAAGGAAATTTCTTGAAGACTTTTAGTTAAATTTGGGGCAGTGTATTTTCTGCAAACAAACTGTTTGATTGATTGTCTCAAAGAGAAATAGAATCTGGCTTTTCCTTATAATTAGAAGATGAAGAATACAAGACAAATTTCCTATATTTCGTTTCTTGGCAAAGAGATTCGTCGAGATATTTTTTCAAGATTACCAGTTAAAACTCTGCTTGCACTTGAAGTTCGTTTGTAAACGCTGGTGCACTCTGATTTCGACCCCCTGTTTTATCTCTCTGCATCTCAAGAGGTTTAGTTCGGACCCTGACAACCATTATATCCTTGTTTGGACTAGGGAGAGAAATGGTTTGATCCGTATACGAAATCCAGTATACTTCATAAAGCTTACTGATTACTGAACCTCGTATGTCTGATTATTTGTCTATGGAACCCGATAAATCAATTCAAGATTCTCCCTATGCACTCTATAAACCTTCAAAAAGCACACAAATGTTACGTTAGTGTGGGTTTTGGGTATGAACAGAATTCTGATGATTACAAGGTCATGAGGATTCTAAACTATCAGAAAGGTAGGCGAGTTACTATAGTTGAGGTTTACTCAACCAAATTGGAATCTTGGAGAGGTGTGAAAATTAATAATCTCTTAAACATGACTACCTGCCACTGTGATGCAATTGTTGAAGGGTTTAATTACTGGGATATCAAAAACATGAAAAAAACACCCCGTAATACTGTTCTTGCCTCGTTTGATTTGAAGAGAGAGATGTTCGTTTGGTTTGGTAACTGAATCTCAAAGTTTTAGGGCCATAAACTATCCTGGGTGACTTGCATACTCATCACACACTGAATTCAAGACGTGTCTTGAGGTTTGGATATATGAGGATGATAGGAACAGATTCTATTCGTTCAGTTTTCTACTATAATGTCTTGTATCGATTAACGGTTTCAAGCCTGTCCCAGTCAATTTAAAGAAGAAAAGGAAGGCTCCAATTCCGTAGAAGAAGAAGCAAAATAGAGCTAACAGGCACATAGCCGAACTGAAGTAAATGTAGCAATTCTAACAAAATTATGCTACTGAAAATTGAATCGAATCACATCAAAAAGTAATGATTGAGAATGTGAAGAAAATGAAATATAAAAAATGAAAAAATAAAATTTTAGAAAATATTAGAATAACAAAAACATTTTTTATAAAATAATAAATTAAAAAGAAAAATTCAAATATAAATAAAGGGAAAGAAAAATATTTTAAAAAGTTTCATGTACTTGCACCTAATTCCTAACCCTCCCTTGGGAATTGAGGAGTGCAATTACTACCCTTCAAGTACACCCGACTCCTCTCTTACCAAGTATTCTATCTGTTCCTAATTACTTGTTCACTTTTCTTTTTTTGGTTGTCTTTAATTATTTGTCCATTTTGACAAATCAAGAAATGACAAAAAAAAATTAACTACTATATCCTCAATTAATTACTTTAAAAAAAATATAACTTTTTGAAAATCTTTGTTTTTAATTCACCCACTTCATAATTAATAGAAGTAAAATGGTAATTTTACTATGTCATTAATTGTTTTATTAATATGTGTGTCCATTCAAAAGTGGATACATAATTAGGATCAGAAGAAGTAATTACTTGGTCTACCAAGCATATCAAAAAGAGTAATTACATCAAATCTCAATTACATGTGACTTTCTAAACAACCCTTAAGTGGGAAAAAGGGTACTCCATGGTGATGGAGACGTAAAACAAATAAATGATTATTGGGCACAGGTATATTAGGGGTAAATTAATCCCTTAAGCATACAGAAAAAGGGTTACTTATCAATATGTACCGACAAAAAAAAAATTCAACAAAATAATCACACACACACATATATATATATATATAAGAACTCTAGGCCTGTCTGCGTGGCGCGACCACAAACCAGGATTTCTTTTTTAATCTATTTATTTTCAAAACTAGCATTCTCCTTTCATGAAAAATTGCGACTTTAATGAAAAATTATGACTTTTATGAAAAGTTGTAACTTCTATGAAGAGTTGTGACTTTTATGAAAAGTTATGTCTTTTTCGAAAGGTTGCAACTTTTTCGAAAAGTTGTGACATTTCCAATAAGGCACAATAAATATTTGTTCACACTACCCTTTGTTGTCTAGCTATAAATAGAGGGATTTCCTCTTATATTAAAACAACGAAAATTCTGAACTTCTTCTTCTTCTTCTGCACAATTAAATATTCATGAACAATTTTTTCCTTTCTGTTTCATCCTATTGTTATCGATTCTGATATGTTTTTTTACGGTCATTAATTTATGCTTATGTTATTAATTGATGTTTTAATTTTCGCATTTGAATGATACCAATCGAGATGGCTTTTTCAGGGACTGGCCTCTTCCCTGAGGCAATCCCTGGGATTCAAAAGAGTAGTTATTGTTATAAGTATTTGTTAGTACAAATAAAATAACACACGTTAATTGAATATTCACGCAAGTTTTCTCTACTGAAAGATGTTTAACTATGTTTGGACTTTCAATTCACTCAAAAAAAAAAATGAAGTTAAAACATCATTCTAATGTATAAGCAAATGATGTTTTTTCTTAAAAATAAATAAATTTATGTCCAGACAACCGACAGGCTCAAAAATGCCATACGGACTGTGAAGTCAAAATCAAAATTTTAATAAACGTGTGGTGGGTCTCCTCTGAATTTAACAACTGTTGAGTTTTGGCTGTTTGGTAAGATTTGGACCCGCCTTTTACTAAAAGAGCAATTGTTGTTCCCTACAATTTCATAACAAGTGCAACCCCCTTATACTAATACTAATAATAATAATATATTGTTAATACTTACTACAAATTAAACATGGAAAAATTTGTTTGTGTTATCTTTCAATTACTGTGCTTCTTAGTGGCATGCATTGCCACAAACACTAGCACTGATCAATCTGCTCTTCTTGCATTCAAACACGGAGTTACTCTAAACTCTTTAATATCTCAAAATTGGTCTTCTCAAGTTACTGTTTGCGATTGGATTGGAGTCACTTGCGTTCCTCACCACCATAGGGTAACTGCACTGAATGTATCCAACACGGACATTTATGGGTCCATTCCGCCACATTTGGGAAATCTCTAGATATGAGCAGAAATAATTTACAGGGTGATCTCCCTCAAGATTTGTCTCGTTTACGTAGACTGAAGGTGATGAATCTCGGATTCAATAACTTCAGTGGAGAGATTCCAACGTGGTTTGGTTTCTATTCTGAGCTTCAGATGTTAATTCTTGATAACAACAGTTTCACTAATATACCTTCTGCTTCTATTTCTAACCTGTCTATGTTGGAAATTCTCAGTGTTAGATACAATCATCTCAAGGCGATTTTCCCAAAGATATTGGCAACCTTCAGAATCTGAAGGAGTTGATTTTATTCAAAAACCAACTTACTGGCTCTATTCCATTCTCCATTTTCAATATTTCATCGTTAGAAAATTTAGATCTCACGCATAATCAATTATCAGGAAGTCTTCCTGTGGATATATGTCGCCGTCTTCAAAGAATAAAGAGCATTTCAATCATTTCCAACCACTTGAGTGGTTACATTCCATCGGGTTTATCTAACTGCACGGAACTGTTTGAATTGTCATTGTCATACAATATCTTCACTGGGACTATTCCACCAGAAATTCTCAACTTGGAGAGGCTTGAGAGCTTAAACCTTGGGGGAAACAACTTGCAAGGTATTTTACTAAAAGAAGTTGTGTGAGTTAGTTAAATCTAAACTAGCAAGTGAATACAAAGTTTATCTATTCAAAATCCTTTTAGCATGAGCCTAGTTTTGAAATTGTTAATTGAGAATCGTTAAGTCTACATCATCGGTGGGGATGGGTGTTTTGGTCTCCTTATATGGACTTGGACACTCCTCCCCTTATAAACTAGCTTTGGGTGTTGAGCTAGGCCCAGGTGCTATATCTATCCAGAATTAACACCTTGAGCTACAGCATAAATTTGCAAGTTGGTTGGCAATTTGCAGGCACAATTCTAGCAGAGATTGGTACTTTATGAAACTTGCAGCAATTACAATTGGAGAACAATCACATCGTGGGTTCAATACCATGCACCATATCCAACTTATCATCACTATTGTTGCTTAATTTCAACACAAACAATTTATCAGGTAATTTTCAAGCAACGTGTTCAACTGATTACTGATTAGTACTCTTGCATCATGCATAGAATCAATTGTTGATATATGAACTGATGCAATGTTTGGTAAACTGGAGCAATCAAATAAACTTAATCCGGATAATACAGATATGTGGCAGGTGTTATGCCAAGAGAGATTGGGAATCTTCACAAATTGGAGATACTTTTTTTGCAATTTAATCAGTTAAGTGGTTCCATACCAGAAGAGCTCTTCAATATCTCTACATTGAGAAGGCTATCACTGGGATACAATAACCTTTCAGGTAGTCTTCCATCTTCTTCGAGCTACTGGCGGACAAATCTAGAGCTTTTAGTTCTTTCTGTAAACAACATTGGTGGATACCCAGCTCAATCTCCAATTCTTCAAATCTAAAGAAATTAATTCTTGAGGATAACAAGTTGAGTGGCCCAATTCCTAACTCGTTGGGTGATTTGAGACAACTTGAAAAATTGGTGTTGTCCAATAATACCTGTCACGACCCAATTTCTCAAGTCATGATGGCACCTACTATACCTCACCAGTAGGTAAGTCAGCCCGTAACACAGAATATCAAGCAATGAGTGTAAGGGCAGAAACTAGCGAAAACAATAATCTAAACAAGGACAACAAGGCGGAAGCAAACCAAAATAAATATATACAAAAATCCCTCCCAGAACCCGAAAGTCACTAGTACAGAGCTGTCTTATAAAAAGTACAAGTCCCAAAAGTGGACCACAACAAAGTGTGTCCCAAAAGCAACAAGACTAGCTAAAACAAAAGAAGGAGACAGAACAAACCCAAAACGCCAAGTGCTCACCCTCGTCTCCGAGTCACAGCTGCAAAAGAAGGCTGGAACTAATCACCGCTGGTAACTGGTACTGGGACCTACATCACGAAATAGATGCAGAGTGTAGCATGAGTACCAAACAACAGGTACTCAATAGGCATCAAAGACCGACTGAGCAAAAGGGGTAAAAACAATAAGAAAGGATAGAATCTAGACACAGAGAGGTCAGAGCCGATATGAAAAGAAAGCACACGAGCATACCAGAAGTAAACTAAGTACAACTAAACTAAACCTAACTGGACCCCCCATAACCCAAGAAGGTATGTGCAAGTTTAAATAAAACCTGAACGAATCCCCATAAGCCCGACAGGTACATAAAATAGCTAAGTCTACTGAGAAAGAAGAAAATCGGGCTCCCAGCCCAAAGTAACCAAAAGAACCCATCAAACTCCACCCAGCTAGCAGTGCACTTCCAGCCTAGTTAGAAAGAGTGACCTCGGGGGCACCTAACCAAACAGTCCACTCCCAGCCCAGCTAGAATGAGGGACTTGTGGGTGAGGTAGATATCGCGAGTCGTCTTACCATGCAGTCAGCTCCCAGCCTAGCTAGAAAGAGCGACCCGGGGACACCCAACTAGCAGCACACTCCCAGCCCAGCTAGAAAGAGAGTCCCGGGGGCAATTGCCGAAATCACTGAGTCTACCCAACCAGCGATACGCTCCCAGCCCAGCTAGATGAACGACCCCGGGGGTGATGGTATCTCCAATAGGATCCAATCCAGCAACAGCCACCGTGGAACACCGTCCACTCCAAGAAATCACAGAAAAGGCTCCAAGCCTATACTATCTCAATCACACACCTCTAGTGATGCACCGAACCTCCGAGAACGCGTCGGAACCGCAGAATTAGAGGGAGAAGATACAGAAGGGCAACAAGCAGCGATAACGCCTAATCTAAGGCTCAAACTATCAGACACAAGTTTGTTACTCCAGTCTATAAGGAGCTAAGTCATCCGAACGACGTCGGCAGAAAGTCAAGGCTATCAAGCCCACACAGGTCATAAGTCTAAGGCAACGCTAGCCTAACCTAGACTAAGGACATCATGCTTACAGTTGACAATGAACAAAGCATGCAACACACAACATACAAGCATACAATAGCATTTAGCACATAAGCATGTGATTCTACTAACCCGACTAACATGGTACTACGCCTGAAATATGGTCAATCGATCCTAACATAAGGTATCTAATCAAAGTAAACTAAGAAACTGGTACCCACCCCCAATTCACTCCAATCCACATGCTTTTACACAATTAAGCTCAATCTAATAGAAAAGGAAGTTGTAGCCTACCTTTCGGCTGACCGTGCGCGCTCCAAATCACTTTGCCGAAGCTTTTCCTTCCCGAACGACCTTTGAACGCTGTCACTCTATCAAATAAAGGGTCGCAACATTAGTACAGTCGTTTAGACACCAAAATCACAACAAACGGGGACGGGTCAATTTTGGAGTCAAAATGAGAATCGTGGGACCCGCACCGAACTTTTTGGATTTGACTCCGCTAAGAGACCCAAAACAGTATCCCAAACTTGTGTTCTGAAATAGAACACAATTTGGAGCTCAAAACGCAGCAAAACCCAACATGCAAGAAAACCACACTTTAATCAACTTAAAAGAAAACATGCAGCAGTCTAAACTCGGAATATACAAGAATCGAATGGTGCCCAACACTCCTTGAACACTCCACGACGTAGCCACGATAATTCCCAACACTTGGGACTTCAAATCACCCAAAACCAAGCTAAAATGACCAAGATATCACCAATTCAAGAAAGCCAAAAATAAGAACTCGAAAAAGGCTACAGCAGTCTGGTAAATCACGAAATTTACCTCGAACGACGTGAACCCAACAACTTCCAGTCAATCCTTAGCGAAGACACCAAAAAATTGAAGCTCCCGCACTTCAAATTGCCTTATTCGGTTGAGAGATGAGGGAGATATGAGGTTTTTCAGATTGGAAAAGTGCTGACTTTTCTGCTCTAAATACACCAGATTTCAGCCTATTTTTCGAAAACTTAAAAACTCCGAAGGGGTGCTCTGAACTCGTTCGGAACCCCGTGCACGCAAACGAGATATACAACCATACCAAATTCGATATTCTGGACTCAATAACGTAGTCAAAATTTCCATACGAAGTCATCTTGAAAAAAAGTGGGTCCCACACCCAACCGTCATTTTAAGTCAAAAATTACAAAGGGGCTCGGAAAAAGCTCGGAATCCTCGGGACACAAAAAAATGGTCAATCTAGACCAAACTCGACATTCCGGAGCTAACGACGCTAACAAAATTCTCATATGAGCGCGTTTACTCAGAATGTTGACTAAAGTCAAACTTAGGCTTAAACTTAAAGTTAAAACGCCTAATCGCACCGACTCGCACTGAAAACGTCGTGAGCCATGCCGACCATGCTACTAAACTAAAATGACCCTTCTGAAGCTGATGGAACCGTCAAAATTGGATTTAGATGTCATCTTCTTGAACTTTTGATTGAAAAGGATCGTTCAAGGTTCATAAGCTCCAAAAACACTAAAACTCGCACAATAACCAAACGAACGACCAGGTGATCGAACTGTCAGTCCCAGCAAGTCATAAATGACTTAGGGTCGCTACAGGAACGCTCTAAACGACACACAGAGGGAAAAATATAGAAATGACCAGGAGGGTCATTACATCTTCCTTGACCAACTGCAGATCTTTAAGACGCATATTGTTAGCAAATAATCCTCTGAATGGTGTTCTTCCAAATTCCGTTGGAAATCTCTCCACTTCTATGGAAATATTTGATTTATCTCTTTCTGAAATTGGGGGTCAGATACCATTAGGAATTGGGAATTTAAGTAACTTAAGCACTTTGTCCCTATTCGGAAATGACTTGACTGGATCAGTGCCAACAACATTCTTTGATTTACACATTCTTCAAGAGTTAATACTTGACAATAATAGGTTAAGTGGACCCTTGCCAGAGTGCTTTTGCAAAATGTCATCGTTGGGCTTGGTTAATTTGTCATATAATCGAATTTCGGGTTCCATACCATATTGCATTGGCAAAGTTACCTCTTTGAGAAATATTTATCTAAATTCAAATAGGTTTACTAACATATCCATCAGTCTATGGAGCCTCCAAGATCTTTTGGTGCTTGACTTGTCAAATAATTCTTTGATTGGTTCTTTACCTCCAGATTTTGGAAATTTGAATGCCATAACATATGTAGATCTGTCCAGGAATCATCTTTCAGGAAGTATTCCCACACAATTGGAGACTTACAAAGACTACTTTATATTTCTTTGGCTTATAATGAGTTACAAGGATCTATTCCAGAGTCACTCGGGAAAATGATTAGTTTGGAATCGATTAATCTATCCAAAAACATTCTTTCAGGTACGATTCCAAAATCATTAGAGTCACTTCGATATCTGAAGAATTTCAATGTATCATTCAATAGATTAGAAGGTGAAATCCCAAGTAAATGACCTTTTCTCAATTTCACTTATGGGAAATGAAGATGAAAAACTGTGAGCACACAAGCTCATAACACCGTTGATAAACTTAGAGAAGAAACTGGAGTAAGGAAGAAATGAGAGAGAATTTTATTAATCTGAATCTGGACCCTTTACAAGTGAGATACATCTTCAGGTTATATAGAAAGCCAGAAGAAGAAGAAAATATCTAATCGACCAACTGATTCATCAGCACAGTAATCGAGGTAACTAACTAGCACCAACTAACATTCTGAAATGACCTTCTAACTAACTAATGGATTCGTAACTAACTTCTGAATATTTAGCTATTTCAACAGAAGAGTTATGCGGCGGCTTGCTTTTCCAACCTTGTATGAGTAGATCTTTTCATCATTCAAGGAGAAGCGAACTGCTTCTGATTATACTTGTCTCACTGGGAGCTGCAGTAATGGGACTTGACTCAGTTGTTGTGTTTATGTTAAGGAGACATCGGAATAGAAATGTTCCAACTCAAGCCGAATCTTTTCCTGCAACAACACCAGCCAGGATTTCATATATACATTGAAATTGGAAGGGCAACTCAAGGGTTCGACCAATGCAACTTGCTAGGCTCTGGAGGTTTTGGCTCTGTTTACAAGGGCATGTTTGAAAATGGGATGACTTTGGCAATCAAAGTGTTCAATTTACGGATTGAAGGTGCATTCAAGAGTTTTGATATTGAATGTGAAGTTCTACACAACCTTCGCCATAGAAATCTTGCCAAAGTTATCAGCAGTTGTACTAACATGGATTTTAAAGCATTACTTCTAGAGTACATGCCCAATGGGAGCCTGGAGAAATGGTTACATTCTGATGATCACTTCTTGGACATAATCCAAAGATTAGACATTAATGGTTGATGTTGCATCAGCTTTGGAGTATCTCCATCATGGTTATTCAACAGTCGTTGTACATAGTGACTTGAAGCCTAGTAATGTCTTGCTAGACGAAAGATTGGTTGGACACGTGAGTGACTTTGGCCTGGCCAAGTTATTCGGAGAAGGGGAATCAGTTGCTCATACTAAAACACTTGCTACAATGGGGTACATTGCACCAGGTAAATTTCTTTTAGTCCTTTTGTTACCACATATAAAGTGTTATTTTACATCACATTAGAACTTGGTGAAAGCATAATCAAAATGGCCAAGTTAGCTCATAGATTGAATCTGTATATTATTACCTTTAATCTGCCAGAAGTCATATTGTTTCAATTGATTACCTTACTCTTGTTTTATTCCCATTATACCTTTAATTTCTTATTTGGCTCGTCAAGAAACTAATTACTCTGGTAACATTGGATCAGAGTATGGATCAGTAGGATTAGTTTCTACAAGATGTGATGTGTACAGCTACGGCATTATGCTCATGGAAACTTTCACAAGAAAAAGGCCATATGATGAAATGTTTCAAGAAAATTTGAACATGAGGAGTTGGGTCTGTAATTCACTACCTGTCGCACCAGATGATATTATTGATGACACCTAATTTCTGTTAGGATTTTGTCCTGATTTTCTTACCTTCTTTGAAGTTTATTTTTTCTAAAAGAAAAGACAAAACATTACCATAAATGTTTTTACTTTTTCTTGAAAGGAAAATATAATATTCTTTTCATATTTGGTTTATTCTTTCCTTTTAGGAAAATGTTTTTGGAGTAGCTAGTTCTTTTCTAGTAGGAAAGGTTTTAGGACTCTAAAAATATAGGTTTGTTTCTTCTAACTCAATAACAATAACATCCACAATGTAGTCGTATAAGAGTCTTGTTTATGGGGAAATTTAATCTCTCAACAGTTATAATATTTTTTTCTTTTAAATTAGTTTTCATATTAATAATATTATGTTTTAGTATCGCTTTATTTGTCATCTAATTTATCACCGTCTTGATTGCAATTGTAAGCTTCCGCATGACGCCCAACTCACCTTCATAACCCAACAATTTCAACCTGAAGAGATTGATTTTGAGAAAAAGTTGTGTTTTGTGTCCTCTATTTTGGACTTGGCATTGAATTGCACAGTTGAATCTCCTAATGAGAGGCCGAACATGAAAGATGTCCTGGCAAATATCAATAAGATCAAGCATGAATTTCTTCACAGATGATGCACCAAGGTTTATGCAAACGGTAGGCATCCAACATAGCTCCTAGATTTAAACTTTTCTTGTTTCTTGTGCTTTCCTCTCGTGTATATTTCAAGTTTGAGTGAGTGTGTCAAATAACTTAAGTACATAACATGTTTACTACAATTGGAAAGGAAGAATGCCCTGTATAATATGATTAATGAGGTTATTATGTTAATTTCAACTACAATAGTACACAAAGAGTGGTGTATAATGTTGAACTAAAATTGAACTTTTCTTTGTTTATTGCTTTCCTCTTGTGTATGTACCAATTTGAGTGTTTCTCTCAAATATAAGTGTAATATAGGACAAGTATATATAAGATGTGTACTAAAGTTGTTATAGAAGAATGCCCTGTACAATATTAATGATCGTTATTGTTTTGATGTATCTACTTTGCAGATGTGAATCCCTCCGCTTAAGCTTTTTAGATGATATAGTCAGACACTTCAATACTCCTTTATGTTACACCACGCTGCTCCTTTCTCAAATAACTTGATAGAACATTCAAAAAAGACGTAATCTAACACCCTTTTTTGGGACAGACTTTAGTAAAGTCAAGTCGACCAACTGTGGAAAATTTATAACTAGGGGTGTACAAAATCGAACCAAACCGCAAATTAAACCAAAAAAAAAACCCGACTAGTGGTTTGGTTTGACTTGGTTTGGTATTGGAAAAAAAACCCGACTATATTTGGGTTGGTTTGGTTTTAACTAAAAAAATCAACCCGAGGCCAAACCAACCCGACGTTATATATATAATTTTAAAATATTATTTTATACATAAAATAGATATAATTTTTAAATATTTCTTATACTTTTTCATAGTTTTTGTCTTTTAATATATTATTTCAAGTTTGTAACTTAGAATTATGAATGTTCCAATAAAGATTATAGTCCACATATGTTGGTAATTATAATAAAGCTCAAATCAAAATCAAATTAATGCTAATGCAAAAAGAAAATCAATTCAACACTAATAATGACAATAATATTGAATATTTGTTCTTTAGTTTTACATTGGTTTAGACAATTAAAATACATAATCTAATTTTAATTTCATTTAATATTTAGTCATGTAACTAATACTTATTGAACTTATTTTAGCATGATTTAGTACTTTTAAATTATGATCATTTTCATTATGAATTGTTAATTTGCAATTTTTGTTTTACGCGATTTCATTATTATTATTTTTGTTGGATATTCTAGTGTCATTAATTATATCACATTTTGTGTTATTTTTTTAAGAAACAACTTAGATAGTTGTATTTTGATAGGACTAAAGAAATATTTGAAATACAAGTAAATTATATGTTTGTATGAATACTTTACCAGAAAAACCCGAAAACCCGAGGTTGAAAAACCCGAGTTTTTTTGGTTTGGTTTGGTTTATAAATTTTAAAATCCGACATAAATGGTTTGGTTTAATATTTGAAAAACCCAAACCAACCCGACCATGTACACCCTTATTTACAACCCCTTATCTACGGCATTGCTTGGCCCTCTTTCCTTGATAATAATTAAAAATCAAGGAAAAAGGTTTGCATAACATTAGAAAGGTATGCTGTACTGTCCATATGGTTTAAACAGGAAATAATAAGAAAACCTTTCATCATAATAAGAGCTCAGGTAAAGATCGGATATTACCGTTGACAATATAATTAAATAATATAAAAGTTTGTTCTCTCTAATCGCTTAAGTTTTTAGATGAGATGGTCACACAATTCAACAATTATTAGTGGAAACTAATTTTTCTAGTACTGTTCGAACTAGATAAGTATTAGGTAAATTATATAAATTTGTATTTTCTGCTTATTTAAAATACAAGAAAATATACACTAAAAAAATATTTTTCTTCCGACCCTACTCAATCACTGAATTTAATGCCTATTTGGAAGGAGAAAAAAAACTCTCTAAGAAGACCTAGTAAATCCAACTAATTTTCCATATACTGCTCTTTGATATAGCACATGAAGTCAAGTCACTCTGGAAAATTTATAGCCCCTTATCTACGACATTGCTTGGCCCTCTTTTATCCCTATTTAATGACTAGCTTGGTTTGATTTTTCATTTAAAAATAACTAAATGAATTATATTGATGTATTAAATCTATAAATCAACCCAAATTAACAAAAAGTGTTTTTCAATTTTTTGGTTTTTTTTATAATTATACAATAATTGAAAAAGAGATCAAATATATTTTCACTTACATATGTGATAGGCTAAAACCTAAAGAGATCAATTTTACTTTATATTACGAAAGAATTTTAGAAAGAAAAAAAAAAGACAAAAAAGAGAGAATTTTGCTTTAAAACAATTGACAAATAATAAGAAGAGAGAAAATAGGAACAATAAAATAATGAACTTTTTATTTTCAAAATATATATGATAGATTAAATATAGTCAAGAACAATGATAAAAAAATGATTAATATCATCGTGTACACAGGTTGAATGTAGATGCGAAGGAGAAAATTTAGGCAAAAAAAAGAATATATGCATGTATGAAAAAATCTTAAAGAGATAAACAAAAAAGTAAAAAAAAAAAAAGTTGAAAAAGTTGTTATTACCAAAGAACTGTTTAAAATAAGAAGAGAGATGAAGAAATGATAAAAAATAATTATACTTTTTCAATAAATAAAGGAAGGAAAGAAAAAACATTTCTTGAAAAGGCAAAGAAAAAAAAACGAGTAAAAGAGAACATGGCTAATAAATGATAAATAGATTTTAAGAAATCTTTTTTTTGCTAAAAAGTTATAAGTGGGCTATTTATTGCCAATTTTAATTATAAAACATGTCATGATGTGCCATTTTTTCTTTTTAATATAGTGTACAATTATTATTGGATGAAGGGATTACCATAGTAAAGAAAAGTTCTAAAGAAATTTGGATGTCTGATGAAATAATATATTATCTCAAAACAAAGACTTGGGGACAAAATTTTAATAAAGTCAAGCCAACCACTGTGGAAAATGTACAAATTACAACCCCTTTATCTACGGCATTGCTTTTGTTCCTTTTTTTTATACAAATAAGGGACCCAGTCCTTAGCAACCTTTTGTCCCTATTTAGCTCAACACTTGTTTCCTTATCTTATGTGCAATCACATGGAGAAAGCATACTCTTTCTTTCTTTCACTACTACTCTTGCACCTATACTTGTTAGAGACATGCATTAGCAAAAACATAGTAATTAACACAGATCAATCAACTCTACTTTCATTGAAAGCTAGTTTTACTCTAAACTCTTCTCATCCCTTAACTCAAAATTGGTCTTCTCAAGCTTCAGTTTGTGATTGGATTGGAGTCACTTGCGGCTCTCGCCACCATAGGGTGAGAGCACTAAATGTATCCAACTTGAACATTCTTGGAAACATTCCACCACAATTGGGAAACCTCTCATTTCTCGTTTCGCTTGATCTTAGTAGTAATAATTTCCAAGGAGACCTCCCTCAAGATTTGTCTCGTTTACGTAGATTGAAGGTGATGAATCTAGCAAACAATAACTTCACTGGCCAGATTCCCAAAGATTTTGGTAACCTTATGAGGTTAGAGAAGTTGGTTCTAGTCAGTAATAAACTTAGTGGCTCAATTCCATTCTCCATTTTCAACATTTCCTCGTTGGAAATTTTAGCTCTCACATATAATCAATTATCAGGGAGTCTACCTGTAGATATATGTCGTCGTCTTCAAAAAATAAAGAGTATTTCAATCATTTCCAACCACTTGAGTGGTCAAATTCCAACAGGTTTGTCTAACTGCACAGAATTGTATGAATTGTCATTGTCATACAATAACTTCAGTGGAACCATTCCACCAGAAATTGTAAACTTGGAGAGGCTTCAGTTCTTAAACCTTGGGGGAAACAACTTGCAAGGTACATTCTGCATACTTTAATTTCTCAATGTGAATATATAACATCCTACTTTGCATATATATGTAAGCCCACAATATTTAGGGTGTGTTTGGTACCAAGGAAATTTTCCTACTTTCCTATTTTTTTATGTTTGGTGCTTAGCATGAGGCTAAGCACCAAAGTTTGTTAATTGAGAATTAACACCTTGAGCAACATCATAAAAATTTGCAAATTTGTTTGCCGTTTGTTGAAATTTGCAGGCACAATTCCAGCAAAGATTGGTAATTTAGGAAAGATGCAGCAATTACAATTGGAGAACAATCGCATCGTGGGTTCAATACCACGCACCATATCGAACTTATCATCACTATGGATGCTTAATTTGAACACAAATAATTTATCAGGTACCTTGGTCTTGTTTGTCATGGAATTAATTGTTGGTTTTTATCAACTCTTATATATACTGATGGGCACAATCAAATAAAAGTAATTTAGATATATTCTTTCGTGTGGCAGGTATTATACCCAGAGAGATTGGAAATCTTCACAAACTGGAGATACTTTATTTGCAAATTAATAAGTTAAGTGGTTCCATACCGGAAGGGCTCTTCAATATCTCTACACTAACAGAGGTGTCAGTTTTCTTCAATAACCTTTCGGGTAGTCTTCCATCTGCTTCAGGCTACTGGCAAACAAATCTACAGCTTTTGAATCTTGGTCAAAACAACATTGGTGGAGTAATACCCACTTCAATCTCCAATTCATCAAATCTAGAGATTATAGATCTTAGTATAAACAAATTCAGTGGCCAAATTCCTAACTCGTTGGGGGATTTGAGGGATCTTGAATATCTGGACTTGTTCGTTAATAACTTATCGTCTCCGCACCTAAGTATCTTAACTTCATTGGTGAACTGCAGATATTTGAAAGAAGTAATATTAGGGGAGAATCCTCTGTATGGTGTTCTTCCAGATTCCATTGGCAATCTCTCCATTTCTATCATGGAACTTGAGTTATATAGTTCTGAAATTAGAGGCCAGATACCATTAGGAATTGGGAATTTAAGTAACTTAAACACTTTGTCCCTATCCGGCAATGACTTGACTGGATCAGTGCCAACAACCTTATGTGATTTACACATTCTTCAAAGGCTAGGACTTGGTCTTAATAGGTTGAGTGGATCCTTGCCAGAGTGCCTTTGCAAAATGTCATCGTTGGGCTTGCTTTCTTTGTACTATAATCGGATTTCTGGTCCGATACCATCTTGCATTGGTAATGCAACCTCTTTGAGAAACGCTTATCTAAATTCAAATAGGCTCACTAACATACCCACAAGTCTATGGAGCCTCAAATATCTTTTGGTGCTTAACTTGTCAAATAATTCTTTGATTGGTTCTATACCTCCAGAATTAGGGAACTTGAAAGCCATAACATCCATAAATCTGTCCAGGAATCACCTTTCAGGAAGTATTCCCTCCACAATTGGAGACTTGCAGAGCCTAGTTTATCTTTCCTTGGCTTATAATGAGTTACAAGGTTCTATTCCAGAGTCACTTGGGAAAATGATAAGTTTAGAATCGGCGAATCTATCCAATAACATTCTTTCAGGTACCATTCCAAAATCATTAGAGTTGCTTCGGTATCTGAAGAATTTCAATGTATCATTCAATAGATTAGAAGGTGAAATCCCAAGTAAAGGACCTTTTCTCAATTTCAACTCTCAATCTTTTATGGGAAATGGAGGGTTATGCGGCGGTTTAGTTTTCCAACCTTGTATGACTAGGTCTTTTCATCATTCAAGGAGAGGCAAACTGCTTCTGATTATACTTGTCTCACTGGGAGCTGCGGTAATGGTACTTGGCTCAATCGTTGTGTTTATGTTAAGGAGACGTTGGAATAGAAATATTCCAACTGAAGCTGAATCCTTTGCTGCAACAACACTAGCCAGGATTTCATACATTGAAATTGAAAGGGCAACTCAAGGGTTTGACCAATGCAACTTGCTAGGCTCTGGAGGTTTTGGCTCTGTTTACAAGGGCATGTTTGCAAACGGGATGACTTTGGCAATCAAAGTGTTTAATTTACAGGTTGAAGGAGCGTTAAAGAGCTTTGATGCTGAATGTGAAGTTTTACGCAACCTTCGTCATAGAAATCTTACCAAAGTTGTCAGCAGTTGTACTAACTTGGATTTTAAAGCATTACTTCTTGAGTATATGCCTAATGGAAGCCTAGAGCTGTGGTTACATTCTGATGATCGCTTCTTGAATATGATCCAAAGATTAGACATAATGATTGATGTTGCATTTGCTTTGGAATATCTCCATCATGGTTATGAAACAGTTGTTGTACATAGTGATTTGAAGCCTAGCAATGTCTTGCTAGACGAAAAGTTGGTTGGACATGTGAGTGACTTTGGCCTGACCAAGTTATTAGGAGAAGGGGAATCAATTGCTCATACTAATACACTTGCTACAATGGGCTACATTGCACCAGGTAACTTTCTGTAAGTCCTTTTATCATCGCCTATGATGTGTTATTTTACATCAAATAATTAGTTGACTGGTTCTAATATAATGCATCACATTAGAACTGGGTGAACGCCTAAGTGGATGGCTTATTTTAATTGGAAGTTATCACCTAGTGTTTTTTGTCACTTTGTTGGAATTTAATCCACTTCATTGACCATTAAGCCACAATTAGCCTTGGGTATAAATATAGATAGTATTTTGATTTCTTTGGCTCGTCAAGAAACTAATTACTCTGGTAACATTGGATCAGAGTATGGATCAGTAGGATTAGTTTCTACAAGATGTGATGTGTACAGCTACGGCATTATGCTCATGGAAACTTTCACAAGAAATAGGCCATATGATGAAATGTTTGACGGAAATTTAAGCATGAGGAGTTGGGTCTGCAATTCAGTACCTGCAATGCCAGAGGATATTATTGATGTCACGTTAATGGAACCAGAAAAGACTCACTTTCAGGAAAAGTTGTGTTGTGTGTCTTCTATTTTGGAGGTGGCGTTGCATTGCACAACTGAATCTCCCAATGAAAGGTTGAACATGATAGAAGTCCTTGCAAATATCAAGAAGATAAAGCAGGAATTTCTTCGCAAATGATGTACGTAGCAGTGGTAAATATCCAACTTTTTAAAAGTATTCTGATGTCATCTAGATATATTATTTCCTTATTCAAGAATAGAAATGATTATTGTCTTGTGAGCTTGTCTATATCGTACAAATATATTGAATTGGATATTCTGGTTTTCCATACAAATATATCCCCTTGTATAAGAAAAAACAAGAACTAATTGAAGCATAACTTAATTCATGATTATAAGTAGAAGAACCCAACATTTTTGCCTATGGAAATTTGAATTGTGATGAATGTTGAAAACTGAAGTAAACAACTCAAGTCTGTGTTACTATTAGTTTATTTTTGTATGTGCTGTGCCAGCTCAAGTTTAATCCTAATTGAAAATTTGTGCAGGTTGTACGTGCTGCCTTTTCTCCTGGTTTAGCAAATTTGGGTGATACCAATTGAGATGAAAAATCAACATTTGGTCCGAGATTTGAACTTTTCTTGTTTCTGTTCTTGTGAATATTTCGACATTTGGTAAAATAAGTCTAATGTATAAGATGTGTACTACAGTTGGAATAGAAGAATGCCCTGTATAATATTGGATTGTTAATGTATAATATTGAACTAAAATTTAGCGTGTGCATCATCATTTTTATTTCTTTTAATATTTCCCTTAAGAAGTATTACGATGCAACAATTGAATTGTCCAAAAGGAATTTCTGCACCAACATTTTCCTGTATCATCCAACACTGACTTGAACACCTAATAGCAGTCTACAAAAGAGCTTAGAACCAACAGCGGATGGATTGATTTATGTTTTAATTCGTGTAACATTTAGGTGATTTTGTTTTGTTTGGACCACACACTCTTCTCAACCTTTAACCAAAATTGGTCTTCTCAAGCTCCAGTTTGTCATTGGGTTGGGGTCACTTGTGGATCTCGCCATCATAAATGTACTCAAGATGGACATTTATGATTCCACTTGTTAAATTGTAGAATCTAAGCTATATTCTTCAAAATACCAGATGCAGAACTAGAGAAAAAAAACCTTACATTTCTTTTCAATGAAATCAGAATGATCTGTTTTTGTGTTATCTTCTACATTACAAATGCACTCTTTTATATATAAAGTGCACCGACTCATTTGTAACTAACACATGTGTAACACGTGCTCTTGCATAACAAACTTTATAACAAACCTCTAACTACCACTAGCAACTTCAAGCAGCAGCTGATTTATTTAACTAACAGTAAGTAGTTCCTTTTGCTTCTTCTTTGAATCTCAATACTCCCCTTCAAGCTGGTGGTTGAAACACATCTAACACACCAAGCTTGGACAATAAGAACTCATGTTGTCCTGTCCCAAGCCCCTTTGTCAGTATATCAGCTAACTGCATGTTGGAACAAACAAATTGAGGATCTATGAATCCAGCCTTCACCTTGTCCCTAATGAAGTGACAGTCGATTTCAATATGTTTCGTCCTCTCATGAAATATGGGATTTCCTGCAATTTGAATAGCCGACTTACTATCTGAAAAGAGTTTAATAGGAACTGATATAGACACATTCAACTCTTGCAGTAGCCCTGAAAGCCAAATCAATTCTGAGACTACTGCTGCCATGCTTCGATACTCTGCTTCAGCAGAGCTTCTACTCACAGTCTGTTGCTTTTTTGACTTCCAAGAAATCAAAGACTCTCCTAACTTTATCACATAACCAGTGACGGATCTCCTGGTGTTGGGACAGGATGCCCAATCTGAGTCACAATACCCTGTCAAGTTTGTAATCTCACCCTTCTTCAGAAAAATACCAAGGCCCGGAGACTTTTTGATGTATCTCACAATTCTAAGGGCTGCATCCCAATGTGACACTTTTGGATGTTGCATGAATTGGCTTAAAGTTTGAACTCCAAATGCTATGTCCGGCCTTGTTATTGTCAAGTAGATCAACTTCCCAATTAACTTCTGATAAGATGTAACATCAACCAACTCAGGATCAGAACTGTTTCCTGTGTGTTGATCATAAGTCAAGCTAGTGAACTTGTGATTGAATTCAACAGGAGTATTGAATGGTTTTGCACCACTAAGACCTGTGTCAGCAATGAGTTGCAGTGCATATTTCCTTTGGTTTAGCAGGATTCCACCTTTGGATTGCATCACTTCTATGCCCAAAAAATATCTTAACTTCCCCAAATCTTTCATCTTGAAATGCTGGTGTAATGTAGACTTAGCTTCATCAATCATCTTGGAGCTTGAGCCAGTGATCAACAAGTCATCAACATACACCAGAAGCACTACAATATCACCCCCATACTTCCTGGTGAACATAGAATAGTCATGAGCACTTTGACTATAACCAGCATCTAATAAAGCATCAGTGAATTTAATGTTCCATTGTCGAGAGGCTTGTTTCAAACCATATAGAGACTTTTGTAACTTGCATACTTGATTGTTCCCTTTTTTGTGAAAACCAAGAGGTAAGTTCATATAAACATCCTCATGCAGATCACCTTGTAGAAAAGCATTACTCACATCCATTTGACATAGGTCCCAGCCATAGGAAGCAGCTAAACTGATAACTGTCCTAATTGTTACCATTTTTGCAACCGGAGAGAAAGTCTCATTGTAGTCCAGCCCTTCCCTTTGTGTGTACCCTTTAGCCACTAATCTAGCTTTGAATCTGTCGACTGCACCATCAGACTTGTACTTGATTTTATACACCCATTTTGAGCCTATGGCCTTTGCACCTGGAGGCAGGCCTACAATGGTCCAGGTATTGTTATCCTCCAGTGCCTTGATCTCATCTTGCATAGCTGAGATCCATCTAGCATCTTGTGAAGCTTCCCTGAATGTTTGAGGTTCAAGTGAAGCTGAAAAAGATTGTACATAGGCCTGATAATTGTTGGACAGATGAGCATAGTGAACATGGTCAATAATGGAATAAAGACTGGATTTAGGTGGAACAATATAATCTTTGCTCCAGATGGGAGGCTTGGATATCCTGCTGGTCTTTCTAGGTGCTGCAGGTGGAACTATATCTTCAACATGTGCCACTACATCTTCAACAGGATGCTCAGTATGTGTCTCTTGATGTAAAAGTTCAGGATCCATTTCAACTTCAGGAACCTGTTCCATTGTCTCTGCAGCAAGAGGAAAATCAACAGAAGATAAGTCTGAAACTTCTGGTGATATCCTTGACTGTGCAACATCAGGGAGTTCTGCATCTGTGATCTGTTCTGAGGAAACACCTGCATCCTGTAGAAATGGTGAGAGTAAAGGGAAGGGGTCTTGTGACTTGTCCCCTTGAAAAGGGAAAATGTGTTCTCTGAAGGTCACATCCCTACTGATGAACACAGTTTTGGACTCTAAGTCATATAATTTGTACCCTTTTTGTGTGGAAGAATATCCAATAAAGACAGCCTTCTTGGCTCTTGCTGCAAATTTATCTCCTTTAGGCAATACTGTGGCAAAGCATAAGCAACCATATACCCTCAAATGATCAAGATTAGGAGCCGTGTGATACATCATCTCATAGGGAGATTTTCCATTTAACAGAACAGTAGGCAATCTATTAATGAGATAAACAGCAGTCAATACACATGTTCCCCAAAATCTACTAGGTATATGTGATTGAATCTTTAAAGCCCTCCCTATCTCTAAAATATGTTTGTGCTTTCTTTCAACAACACCATTTTGCTGAGGTGTGTATGGACAACTACTCTGATGGACTATTCCATGATCAAGCAACAAGTCAGTCATGCAAGTATTGAAAAACTCTGTACCATTGTCAGATCTAACAACTTTTATTCCAACACCAAACTGATTACAGACCATAGAGATAAAATTCTTCAAGACTACTACTACCTCTTTCTTAGACTGCAGCAACATAATCCAAGTGAATTTGCTGTAATCATCTACAATAGTCAAGAAGTAGTGTTTTCTATCATATGTAGGGTGTTTATGAGGCCCCCATACATCTAGATGAATCAACTCAAACAAACTAGTAGATTTAGAAGTACTAACTGGAAACTTTAACCTACATTGTTTAGCTAATGGACAAATCACACACTCTTGATGTACACCATCATCCACTTTATGCTTTAAAATCTTCATAACTCCTACAGAAGGATGTCCTAGCCTTAGATGCCACAGTCTCTGATTATCTTCAGCCTTGATAACAGCTCCAAAGGTCGGTGGTATGTGATTTTTTAGGATATAGAGTCCATCAACTTCTCTACCAATCCCAATCACCTTCCCATTGGAGAGTTCCTGCAATACACACTGATTAGGATAGAAGGACACCACACAATTTGAATCCTTGGTGAGTTTGGAAACTGACAACAGATTGAATTTAAAATCAGGCACATGCAATACATTCTTCAAACAGTGATTTCCTAGAACCATTGTGTCTCCTGTATGTTCTATTTGTATTCTATTTCCTGTAGGGACCTGTACTTTATTGTTCCTGGATTGCTCTACTGTTTTTGGCTCATTCAAAAGTGCTTCACAACATGTTACATGATGTGAAGCTCCTGAGTCAATTATCCATTCTAAAGCAGGACAAATATCACTTCTTATAGTATTCATACCTGCTTGTGCATCGGCCTTGCAACTACCTGTTGGCTTAGGACACATCCTTTTCAGAGTTTCATTATAATCATCCCTAGTGAAATATCCACCTGGAAAGCTGAACTTCCTTTCTGCATCATTCTCTTCCTCAACTGTGATATTATTGGCCTGTGGCTTGAAAACATCAGGCTGTCCCTTCCTCCTGCTTTTGAAGTCTGCCGGAAAACCTACTATCCTGTAGCAAGTTTCCTTTGTGTGCCCTTTATAACCACAATGCTATCATATGATTCCAGATCTCTTGCCTTGAGATGATTGCCCTTGGTACTGTACTTGTGAATGATTGTGTGAATACCTTCCTGGACCCTGGTTATTGGACACATTAACATTTCTTCCTGCAAGCATAGTTAGTGGCTCTCCTCCTAAATCTGTACTGCCTAATTTCCTTTGGCTCTCTTCCTGTATCGCCATAGCATAGGCTTGATTAACAGTAGGCACATTCGAATTGAGTAGAATAGAACTTCTTACTTGAGCAAAGGTCTCATTCAACCCAATCAAAAATTGCAACAACCTTTGCTGCCTAAGGTGCTTAGAATCTAAGCTATATTCTTCAAAATACCAGATGCAGAACTAGAGAGAAAAAACCTTACATTTCTTTTCAATGAAATCAGAATGATCTGTTTTTGTGTTATCTTCTACATTACAAATGCACTCTTTTATATATAAAGTGCACCGACTCATTTGTAACTAACACATGTGTAACACGTGCTCTTGCATAACAAACTTTATAACAAACCTCTAACTACCACTAGCAACTTCAAGCAGCAGCTGATTTATTTAACTAACAGTAAGTAGTTCCTTTTGCTTCTTCTTCTTTGAATCTCAATACCACTCCACCATATTTTTGGGAACCTCTCGTTTCTCGTCTCTCTAGATGTGAGTAGAAATAATTTACATGGTGACCTCCGTCAATGTCTCGTTTATGTAGATTAATTGATGGGGATGGATCTCGGCCACGGTTTGGTCTCTTGTCTGAACTTCATATGTTGATTCTTGCTAGATGAAAAGTTAGTTGGACATTGGCCTGAGTCTGTAAGTATTGTTGCGTTTTTTTTAAAAAAAATTGCACAAAACTTTCATGTGCATATTGGAGTTAGAAGGTGAAAACTTAAAACATGTTAAACTCCTTATTCTTATGCTTCTAAACATGGTAGTATTAATAGTATATAACTATATATTAGCTCATTCAATATTTTAATAATGTATATCCTATATTTAAAATATTAATGACAATCCAAACCGGAATGTGTATTTTATTTATTTGTTTATTTATGTAGGTATTTACTATCAAGTTAATTTAGTCGAATTAAATGATTAATATTAACTCTAACTAAAGAAAGAAATAGATGACCTATAACATAATAATAATTATAATCCAACTGAGTTACTCGATTCTCTTGTGACAATTCTCTAAAATTTGGATTGAAAATAAAAAATATATATAAACTCAAATAGTCAATGAAACTACCCATCATGTTGGAATAAATTACAGCCCCATAAATAAAGGGATGACATCCCTAGTGACTTTTGTCTTGGAGGAGGTGTCTACTGGGAACCAGAAGTTTTTTTAGGAGTCTTGTTGTAGGCTTCTAGTTAAAAAAATTATATTAAATATTTTAATTTAAAAAAATGGGTTTTATCATAATTTAATTTTTAGTTTATAAACTTTTAAATTTTGATACAATTACACGTATGCATCACATTATTCAGTATATGTTCAAAGAAAAACATGGTTGACTATAGTCTACAGGTATTTCATCTCAAATTATCAATTTTAATTTTTCGTATTATATTAGTATTGTCACTCTACTTTAATATATTTGTGATAATTGTCTGAATGTTACGTCGAATCTCTAGTTGATTGTATGACTTTGCATAAAATTGTTCTTATTACATCACTTGACAATGTGTAACATTTTAAAAAAGTCAATGGCATATTAAAAGAGGCCGCCTCAAATTCTCTTACTTAGAAGATTCATTGAATGTTTTAGGTTTTCTTATCTTAAAAACAGTTAGAAAGACTTTAATCGAAAAGAACACTTTTGATATGATAATTTTTTTAGAATCTTAAATACTCCATATACTCCACTTTGAATGTATTAATTTTAATGTTTTTAGAAATGTATTAGATATTGAATAATATTTAATGGTAAAGATAAAATAAACACAAAAGGGAACGAAGAGAGTATTCCACCTTTTCTAAGATTAAATACATTTTAAGAAAATGGGAATAAAAATTATTAATTCGTAAATAGGGTGAAAATCATTTGCACACCTCAAATTTGCTTTGAAGATAATAAAAAAATATATCTATTTTCACCTTTGAACAATAAGTATTCTTCCCTTTTATATGAAAAAGATATATAACTACATAAATAGAGGATTGAAAATGTTAAAAGTAAAATCCATAATGCATATAATAAGGGAGAAGGGAAGGGGATTGATTCGTAAATCAAAATTAGGGGTGTAAATAATTTTTACCCATGTAAGTATATTACATGTTTCACCAATAAAACTTAACTATAAGATATAAATCTACCTAAATATTTATTTCTTGAAAATTATATATACCTCTCACTTTCTTATTTGTCCCTACCTGAAAACTTAATTTGTTCCCCAATCACTTGGAGAGATCATACTCTTTCTTGCTTTCACTACAATTATTGACACTTTACTTGTTCGAGGCCATCGACATAAAAACAGATCAATCAGCTCTACTTGCCTTAAAAGTTAGCTTTACTCTAAACTCTTCTCATCCCTCAACTCAAAATTGGTCTTCTCAATCCTCCGTTTGTGATTGGATTGGAGTCACTTGCAGATCTCGTCACCATAGGGTGAGTGCACTAAATATATCCAACATGAACATTCTTGGAAACATTCCTTCAAACTTGGGAAACCTCTCCTTCCTCGTTTCTCTTGATGTGAGCCAAAACAATTTACATGGAGACCTCCCTCAAGATTTGTCTCGTTTGCGTAGACTGAAGGTGATGGATCTTGCGTTCAATAATTTCAGCGGAGAGATCCCAGTCATGTGGTTCGGTTTCATTTCAAAGTTAGAAACTTTGAGTGTGAGAAACAATCGTCTTCAAGGCAATATCCCTAAGGAGATTGGGAATCTTGAGTATCTAAAGGAGTTGATTTTATTTGAAAACCAATTTACTGGCTCTATCCCGCTCTCCATTTTCAATATGTCGTTGTTGGAAATTTTAGGTCTATCACATAATCAATGAACTGGGAGTCTTCCTGTAGATATATGTCGTCGTCTTGCAAAAATAAAGAGCATTTCAATCATTTCCAACCACTTGAGTGGTCAAATTCCAACAGGTTTGTCTAACTGCACAGAATTGCATGATTTTTCATTGTCATACAATAACTTCAGTGGAACCATTCCACCAGAAATTGTAAACTTGGAGAGGCATGAGCTCTTAAATCTCGGGGGAAACAACTTGCACGGTACTCCTTTCGTCCACTTTTACTTGTTCAATTTAGAAAATAATTGTATTTATATTGCTGCTTAAGGATGGCCATCCCATTTGGCAAAATACATCTAACTGGTCTTTAGTTTTCATTTTGATACTTCATCTCAACCTTGTACGTTCCATTTTAACCCTCCCAAAGCTATCATTTTATTTTCACTTTATAAAATAAGTTTATCCATATTCAAAAGCCTTCTAGCATGAGGCTAATTTCGAAGTTTGTTAATTGAGCAACAGGATAAAAGGTTTACAAGTTTGTTTGCCGCTTGTCAAAATAATTTGCAGGCACAATTCCAGCAAAGATTGGTAATTTACGAAAGTTGCAGCAAATACAAGTGGAGAACAATCAAATTGTGGGTTCAATACCGCGCACCATATCCAACCTATCATCACTATGGGTGATTAATTTGAACACAAACTATTTATCAGGTAGCATACGTGGTCTTGTTTGGTTATCCGGAGGCAATAAAATAAATTAATCGAGATATATGTACTCTTTCATGTGTCAGGTGTTATACCCAGAGAGATTGGGAATCTTCACAAATTGGAGACACTTTATTTGCAATTTAATCAATTAAGTGGTAATATACCAGAAGAGCTCTTCAATATCTCTACACTTACAAGGGTTTCTCTCCTCTCTAACCACCTTTCGGGTAGTCTTCAATATGCTTCAAACTACTGGCCAACAAATCTAGAGATTTTGAATCTTGGTGTAAACAACATTGGTGGAGTTTTACCCACCTCAATCTCCAATTCCTCATATCTAATGAGATTATATCTTAATGGTAACAAATTCAGTGGTCAGATTCCTAACTCATTGGGGGGTTTGAGGCATCTTGAACATCTGGACTTGTCCAATAATAACTTATTATCTCTGCACCTAAGTATCTTAACTTCATTGACAAACTGCAGATCATTGAAAGAAGTTTACTTAGACCATAATCTTCTCGATGGTGTTATTCCAGATTCCATTGGCAATCTCTCCACTACCATTATGGAATTTTATTTAGACAGTTGTGAAATAAGGAGTCAGATACCATTAGGAATTGGGAATTTAAGTAACTTAAACACTTTGTCCCTAACCCACAATGACTTGACTGGATCAGTGCCAACAGCATTATGTAATTTACATATTCTTCAAAGGGTAGCAATTGAGGATAATAGGTTAAGTGGACCGTTGCCCCAGTGCCTTTGCAAATTATCATCCTTGGGCATGGTTGATTTTTCTAATAATAGGATTTCGGGTCCGGTACCGTCTTGCATTGGTAATGCAACCTCTTTGAGAAATGTTTATCTAAATTCAAATAGGATCACTAACATACCCATGAGTCTATGGAGCCTCAAAGATCTTTTGGATCTTAACTTGTCAAATAATTCCTTGGTTGGTTCTATACCTCCAGAGTTAGGAAAGTTGAAAGCCATAGCATCCATAGATCTTTCCAGGAATCACCTTTCAGGAAGTATTCCCTCCACAATTGGAGACTTGCAGAATCTATTTTATCTTTCGTTGGCTTATAATGAGTTACAAGGATCTATTCCGGAGTCACTCGAGAATACGATAAGTTTGGAATCAGCAAATCCATCCAATAATTTTCTTTCAGGTATGATTCCAAAATCATTAGAGTCACTTCGACATCTGAAGGATCTCAATGTATCATTCAATAGATTAGAAGGTGAAATCCCAAGTAAAGGACCTTTTCTCAATTTCACCTCTCAATCTTTTATGGGAAATGAAGGGTTATGCGGCGGTTTAGTTTTCCAACCTTGTATGACTAGGTCTTTTCATCATTCAAGGAAAAGCAAACTGCTTTTGATTATACTTGTCTTCCTGGGAGCTGCAGTAGTGGTACTTGGCTCAATCGTTGTGTTTATGTTAAGGAGACGTTGGAATAGAAATATTCCAACTCAAGCTGAATCCTTTACTGCAACAACACTAGCCAGGATTTCATACATTGAAATTGAAAGGGCAACTCAAGGGTTCGACCAATGCAACTTGCTAGGCACTGGAGGTTTTAGCTCTGTTTATAAGGGCATGTTTGCAAATGGGATGACTATGGCAATCAAAGTGTTTAATTTACAGATTGAAGGTGCGTTAAAGAGTTTCGATGCTGAATGTGAAGTTTTACGCAACCTTCGTCATAGAAATCTCACCAAAGTTATCAGCAGTTGTACTAACTTGGATTTTAAAGCATTACTTCTTGAGTATATGCCCAATGGAAGCCTAGAGCTGTGGCTACATTCTGATGATCGCTTCTTGAATATGATCCAAAGACTAGACATAATGATCGATGTTGCATTTGCTTTGGAATATCTCCATCACGGTTATGAAACAGTTGTTGTACATAGTGACCTGAAGCCTAGCAACGTCTTGCTAGATGAAAAGTTGGTTATGTGAGTGACTTTGGCCTGACCAAGTTATTAGGAGAAGGGGAATCAATTGCTCATACTAAAACACTTGCCACAATGGGCTACATTGCACCAGGTAACTTTCTTTTAGTCCTTGAATATCGCATATGATGTGTTATTTACATAATAATTAGTTTACTATTACATCACATTAAAACTCGGTGAAAGCCTGAGTGGATAGCTTAATTAAAGAAATGTAATATATCACAGATTAAGCGTGAACAAAAATGGTATAGAAAACATTGAAATATGACTGTCAAACTCTATATGCATGCATCTACGAATTTCTTTTTATCAAAAGTTCCCTCAAAGGATATTAAATAGATGAGCCAAAGGGGCATAGAGGGGGACTACGCCTGACCTCATCAATACAAATTTACGATACTAGGAGTGAGGAAAAGAAGAAATGTGGGGGGGGGGGTTAAGGGTTGCCCCACATCAATTAAGCATACAAAAAGATAAATTCTAGGATTTTAGAGCAAGCAGAGAAGACTCAGCCAGGATCAAAAAGAAAGCTGTTCTCTTAACTTAGATTCTAATGTTAGGCTTGCCAACTACATCATTCTTAAACGGAAGATTTATAGGCCTAGTCTCAGTGAAGAAGGTAGTCATTTTGCACTATTCAGCCAAGTTAGCAAGCATGTGAGCAGGAGTGTTACCTTCTCTTAAGGTATATGTGAAAGTGAAACGACTAAGTGAACTCATAGATTGGATCTGTCTAATATCATCTTTTATCTGCTAGAAGTCCATATCGTTTCGATTGACTGCCTTATACTTGTTTCATTCCAATTATACTTTCAGTTTTTAAAGTCCTTATCTACTCAAGGTAAATTCAACTATTTTCAATATCTAGTAAATATATATATATATATATATACACATACAGACACACACACATATATATGTATAATATTTTCATTTCTTTATCGGGCTCATCAAGAAACTAATTACTCCAAATATTGGATCTCAGAGTATGGATCAGTTGTATTAGTTTCTAGAAGATGTGATGTGTACAGCTATGGCATTATGCTCATGGAAACTTTCACAAGGAAAAGGCCATATGATGAAATGTTTCAAGAAAATTTGAACATGAGGAGTTGGGTCTGTAATTCACTACCTGTAGCACCAGATGATATTATTGATGACACCTTATTGCAACCTGAAGAGATTGATTTCAACAAAAAGTTGTGTTGTGTGACCTCTATTTTGGAGTTGGCATTGAATTGCACAGCTGAATCTCCTAATGAGAGGCTCAACATGAAAGATGTCCTGGCAAATATCAAGAAGATCAAGCATGAATTTCTATGCAGATGATGTAACAAGGTTTATGCAATGGTAGGTATCCAACTTTTTAAAATATTCTAATGTCATATGGAGAAATTATTTCCCATTTCAGGAATAGAAAGATTACTGTCTTGTCTATACCATGTAGAAATGGGTTTTTTCCATACAAATAATAATAATAAAAATAAAAAATAAAATAATAATAATAATAATATAATAATACTTTTTTTTTTATTAATATAATAATACTTAAATCAAGGAGAACTTCATTAGTTTTGAAATTGGTCACATAATCAAGGAGAACTTCATTAGTGAGTAAAGTAAATCAAGAATTCATGAGGACCAACATTTGGAAATTATGATGAATGTTGAAAAGGGAAGCAAACAACTCATGTATCCGTACAATTAGTGTATTTTTGTGTGTGCTATGAGTTTTTATCTGCAATGACTGCCAACTCAAGTTTGATGCCATTTAAATTTTTGTACAGGTAGTGCCGCCTTTTATGCCTGTCGTTGGCAAATTTGGGTGACACCAATTGAGTTGCCAACAAAGATTTGGTCTGAGATTCGGACTTCTCTTATTTCTTGTGCCTTCCTCTTGTGCATGTTTCAAGTTTGAGTATGTTTATGTAACAAATCTAATATATAAGATGTGTACTAAAGTATAATACCGGTGATCATGAATTATTATTGAGATAGCAGCTTGAATAGTCTATGAAGAGCAGTAAAATGTTGAACTACAAGCTTAGGCTCTTTTAGTTACCAAGTCGAACAGAGTTTTCACAATTAACAGCTTGACTGTAGATTGAAAGCACAAATGCAATCCATATTTTTCACTCTCACAGGTCACAATTGGGGTTGAGACTTAAACCCCAAATGTTGAACGTGGATTCTAATTGGTGAATAACAAAAAACTGAAAGACTGAAAAGTCCTTTTCCAACAACTTAGATCACCCGCTCAATCAATAACACTTGGCAACTCAAATCCAATGACTTCTGCTAAAAATCCAACATTGCCTGGAACACCAAATAGCAGTCAATGAGCATACATAAGAATTTAGATACAATTTTAATTTCATTTCTACATCATTTGGCTTAGGTTTATTACTTTCTTAATTCATCCAATATTGACCCCTTAACAGCTGCAAAGTTTCTTAATTTCATTTTTCAATAGTTCCCATTCACCGACAAAGACAGCATGACAGCTACCATAATCACACTGCAAATACAAAAGCTTCACTTTCTTTGTGGTCCAGTATATTAGTAATACTGCACTAATCTCATAACTAAAACCCAGGGATATCTTTCCATTAATCCATAACTAAAACAAAAGCTTCACTCTCCATTTAATAGTCTCTGTCTGTTGCAAAATCAGGGTGAACTGTATTGAGTAGAGATCAAATAGTTGGTCCAATTCCCGGATGCCTTGGGAAATTGAATTTTCTCTAAAAAAAGTTTTACTTGGATTCAAATAGGCTAACTTTAAGTGTACCAAGAAGCCTTTGTAATCTCAAAGATCTTCTAGATGTAAGTTTATCATCAAACTTATTGAGTAGTTTTCTAGTCCAGTTATTCAAAACTCCAAGGCTGCAATATTCATAGACGTCTCAAGAAACAATATCTCATATTACCCAAAACCATAGAAGAAAACTACTTCTCATACGAAACAACTAATGAATATTGAAAGCAGGTTATACAGATTCTTGAACAACACAGTACACTCTGAGAAAGATCACTAGTTCGGCAAAATCTTGCCGGACCCTATAAACGAACCAGTAGACTTAACTTTAGTCAAATGATATTCAGACATCAAAGTTCAAGACCTGGCTCTGTGACTTTATTCCTAAAATATTTTTTCTTAACGGATGCTGATTCGCAAAAAGAAAAGGATGTTATTCTAGAGTTATTTTCATAGTAATTGGAGTACAAATAACCCCATCAGGGCATTTTAGAATTCACTTCATTAGTGGCGGGTAGTGAAGGCATTTTAACCTTCATCACATCTTGGGACAGAAAGATTAAATCCTATTAAAGGCTCTCCAAGATTCTACTGCTTCAAATTTTACCCAATTCTCTATAAAAGAGCTGTTCTTTAGAGCTCATCTTCTGGGCATATAAATAAGAGAAGTGTATATCTCAAAGAAGATTAAATCATTCACTTAAAAATTCCTTCATTTTGGCATCACTTTTTACTTTTTGGAAAGAGGGGTTGCTCAAATGGTAAGCACTCTCGCAGATAAAAAGTCGTACTCCCCCACTTTTAATTGTCATGATTTTCTTTTTTAGAGTAAAATTATAAGAACTTTGACCAACATTTTATGATGTATTTTTTCATCATATTGATATACAAAAAATTGCAAATTATAGTACTTTTTGTATAGTTTTTGAGTACCTAAATTTTTTGTTTAGAATATCGAATTAATATAATCTAATTTAACTTTGAAAATTAATTAAATTGACTTACGAAAAATGCAACATGACAAATAAAAATGAACGGATGGAGTAGCTCCTAGGAGAGGTAAAAAAAATAAAAACTTTTTACTTCTTGAACTTGTACTGAGTAATGCTTTAACTTCCATCAACTCCCAAAGCACAGTAAGCAAACCAAGGTGATTATAAGATTCCAAGACACAAGAAATGAGTTACTCTCACATCATTTTTCTGAAAGATGAGACAACACCAACACAGTTGAAATAAGAACTTCGCTATTTCTATGACTTGTATATCCACAAACAGCCCAAAAGGAGGAAACTGCACGCAAAAATTACTTACTGCTACAAAACTGTGGCAATTAATTCAGCTGGCAAGTTTGAAGGCATCGATGAACAGACCATAGGTAAAACCCATCTTGAAGTTGTTCAAAAGAGCAATCGGAAAAGTCACCTTAGGCCGAGTGTAGTAGAATCGCGTCACATACTCAGTAATTAAGACACACACAACGGCAGCAATCACATCATTCACTCCTAAAGCTCCAAAAGATAGAGAAATTGTCTGGGCCACATAAAATCCACCCAGTAATGATATACCTCCAAAAAGTGCCCTCCGTGAAGGAGTTTTGAAATAATTTCTCGAAATCTCTGGCACAATGCGAATAATATCAATCAGCCTCCGAGGCCCTTCTCCATTATCTTGCACAGCTTGAATTCTGAATAATCTTGAAGATGATCTCGATGGCTTATTTGCCCTAGGTAAAGCCCCAATTTTTGGACCAATGCCGTATCGAATTAGGGCTGTAGAAGTTAAAGCTAGAGAATGAGTCATTTGATATTTATGCAATTAAAGGGAAGAGAATACAGAATGGATGAAGGATTCAGCAACTGTTGTTGATTGAACGATGAACAATACAAAAGATTAAGATGGAGGGATACGAACATGATACCCAATCCCCATTTTTTTTTTGTTTTCCTTAAATGCCCCTATTGAACACTAGCAACACATTAACAATGAGTACCTTTTTGTCATTTTGAATATAGAGTTACCCAATTGTTAGTAATGTAGAGATAAGTTATGAGCGAATTTATGTATTAACTATGCAATATAGTTATACATGTATTATTTTTTCACATTTTATCTTGCATACATGTATTAGTTATGAACTGCTCCCTCTGTCTCTAATTACTTGTTTACTTTTTCTTTTTTAATTGTTCATAATTACTTGTCCATTTTGATAAATCAAGAAATGGCAAAAAAAGACTAACTATTATACCCTCAATTTATAACTTTGAAAAATGTAGAATTTCTTGAAAATCTTAAATTTTTAATTCATTCACATCATAATTAATAGTGATAAATAAGTAAATTCGTTATATCAATTATTATTATTTTAATAAATGTATCAATATAAAAATGGATAAATAATTAAGAATAGAGGGAATACAAATGTTCAATTAGATGTTTCGAACGTAACTCTCTTGACTCCATTATCTTTCTTGGAATAGTGAGCGTACAAATAAGTCAACATGTATACATCATCATTTTCTGTCACCTTCCTCCATTTTTCTCAATTGACTCTTAAGTGGGCGACTGCTTAAATTCTTCGTTATAATGAATGTTTAGAGTTCGTTTGGCTTTTCTTAATTGACTCTAAAGTGGGCAACTGCTTAAATACTTCATTATAATGGATGTAAGCATTTAGAGGTCATTTGATAGAGTGTATAAAATAAATATCTAATAGAGTGTATACTAGTAATGCATGTATTAGTTAAATTTGTACTTTAGTTATGCATAAATTATTTTTTATGCATTATTTGGTTTGGTGTATTAAAAATAATATGCATTGTATAAAAATATTTATTTATAAAAGTATTATTCACAATTATGGTGAAAAAAAGATGTAAAAGTACTTTTGAGGGGTAATTGGGTCTTTAACCATATTAATGCATGTATTTAATCATTTTGCATTACTAATACCTAAAAATCTATGGTATTAGTAATACACCCCTCAATACACAATAGAGTATATATCTAATGCTTGCATGAAAAAATGCACCAAACAAGGGACTACTAATACATATAATTAATGCATGTATTATTTTTGCTTATACACTCTACCAAACGACCTAGAGTTCGTTTGGTAGCCAGTAAAGAAGCAAGTAACTTTTAGGGTGTGTTTGGTATGAAGAAAAATATTTTCCGGAAAATATTTTCCAATTTTCTCATGTTTGGTTGGGTTAAATTGTCACAACCCGATTTCTCAAGTCATGATGGCACCTACTATAACCCACCAGTAGGTAAGCCAACCCGTAACCCGAAACAACAAGTAATGGGTCTGAGGGTAGAAACTAAACAAGAGTAGGCAAATAACAATATAAACAGGCGGAAGCAAACCAAAAACATATATACAAATAAAGATCTCTCCCAGAACCTGGAAGTCACTAGTACAGAGCTACTAACAAAATGAGTACAAGTCCCAAAAGTGGACAACAGAGACTGGACTGTCTCGAAAGGTAAAAGACAAGTCTATATATACAGATGGAGACTGAAATAGTACAAAACGTCGTGTGCTCACTCCCGTCTCCGGATCAGTCTGCTCCAAGCTCGATCAACGCTGGCTACTAGTGCCCGGACCTGAATCACGAAATAGATGCAGAGCGTAGCATGAGTACCAAAACAACAGGTACCCAGTAGGCATCATAGGCCGACTGAACTTGAAAAGTAAAGGCAATATGAAAAGAAGGAATAACACAAACCGAAGTCAAGAACTAAAATCTAACTAACAATGGAATGCACACGAGTGTACAAAGAACTAACTAAAGTAATCTATAAGCTAACTACACCTAACTGGGCCCCCATAAGCCCAGAAGGTACACTCGTGCGCAAGTTAAATAAAAACCCAAACGGACCCCCATAAGCACGACGAGTACACAAAATAACTATAACTAAAGAGAATTGCATAAAAGAACCCAAGAACGAAGAACACGAATCAGAACCTCAACCCTAATTAGTAAAATCTGACAGTACGGAGGCCGGACCTCGAACCGGATGCTCACAAGAAGTACCCAAGTAACCAATCACAAGTAACAAGTATAAGAGGTCAGAACTCTAACCGGATGCTCTATATAAGTATCTGGGCGATAGAGGCCGGACCTTAAACCGGATGCTCTATATAAGTATCTGGGCGATAGAGGCCGGACCTTAAACCGGATGCTCTATATAAGTATCTGGGCGATAGAGGCCGGACCTTAAACCGGATGCTCTATATAAGTATCTGGGCGATAGAGGCCGGACCTTAAACCGGATG